CCCCGCTGAGCAGGGAGCCTGACATGGGGCTCGACCCCAGGGCCCGGAGATCATGACCTGAGCCGAAGGCAGACACTTCACCAGGCACTTTTGAGAGTGGACCGAGGGCTCTGAGCAAATGCTTTGCTGGCAAGGTCTTCTTGAATCCTCGTGCTCACTCTATGAGACAGATCTGCGACCATCCCCATTTGAGGAAGTGAGGAAACAAGTGGTTACTGTGAGCCAAGGGTCCCAGGTGGCAGGGAAGGAAGCGGCAGAGGTGTGAGGTGAACTCAGGTCTGTCCAATTTCTGAGGCCATAATGCGAACCATCTCCTTTACAACCTCCTTGTCTTCCAGTGTCTATTCTTCACCAAACTGGAGCTATCTTCTTCTCTTGGTAACAATTAAAACTTGTTAGTAAGCTTCTGATTCACTGTAAATGCAGCTCACCCCCCCCCCCCCCCAGCTTCTCATTTCCTTGTTGTAAGAACTGGCTATTGCAAATACTGCATGTAGGCGAACTGGATGACTGGCTGAAGAAAGGGTAATTTTTCTTTATTCTTTTCTTTTTTTCCCCCCCGAGTGTGTGTGCATGCGAGTTGGGAATAGTGGGAAAGAGGGAATCCCAAGCAGGCTCCATGCTCAGTGCAGAGCCTGATGTGGGGCTCAATCTCATGACCCTGAGATCATGACCAGAGCTGAAATCAAGAGCTGACACTTAACCAACTGAACCACCCAGGTGCCCCAGGGAATAATTTTTCTGGCATCCTAGATGATGTACGGAAGCTTTGGGAATTAGATGTGGTCTAGATCACCCCTCAAAGCTCCCCGCAGGAGGGGGAGAGACCCAAGAGCCCAGGGGCACGTGAGGCTAGGTCCTACCCCAGAGGAGGCTCAGGGTCAGAGGAAGGAGGAGCTGCCTCTACTGTCGCTTTGGAATTCAGGACTTTCTTTTCCCCCAAAGTTTTCAGTATCCAATGCAAGATTTTCATTTTCTCGCTAGTCTTTTTTTTTCCTAATAGACTTTAGTTTTCAGATCAGCTTTAGATTCACAGCAAAGTTAAGCAGAAATACAGAGTTCCCACATGCCTTTCCCCCAGCTGAGGCTTCTAACCATCACCCTCTGCACCAGAATGGCACATTTGTCACACACGATTGATGAGCCAGCACTGACGCGCCGTTATCACACCAAGAACATAGCTTACATTAGGATTCACTCTCGGTTTTGTATGTTCAATGAGTTTAGACAAAAGTGTGTCCATGATTATAGTACCCTACAGAGTAGTTACACTGTCCTAAAAATGCAGGTGCTCCACCTTCTCATCCTTCTCTCCTCCAACCCCTAGCAACCACTGATCTCGACTATCTCCATAGTTTTGCCTTTTCCAGAATGTCACATAGTTAGAATTATACAGTATGTAGCCTTTTCAGGTTGGCTTCCTTCATTTAATCATGTAACTTAATGGTTCCTCCCTGTCTTTTGGTGGCCTGATAGTTCATTTCTTTCTAGTGTTGAATAATATTCCACTGTCTGGGCGGACCACAGCATATTTGTCCATTCACTGGGGGATGTCTTGGTTGCTCCCAAATTTTGGCCATTATGAATAAAACTACTGTAAACATCCATGTGCAGGTTTTGGTATGGATATAAGTTTTCAGGTGATTTGAGTAAATACCAAGGATGGCTGGCTCACAGGGTGAGAGTATGCTGAGTTTTGTGAGAAGCTTCCAACCTGTCTCAGAAGTGCCTGTGCCATTTTGCATCCCCATCAGCAATGAACGAGAGCTCCTGCTAATCTACATCCTCCCCAGCATTCAGTGTTGTCAGTGTTTTGGATTTTGGCAATTCTAATAGGTATATAGCAGTATTTCATTATTGTTTGACACCCAAGCTTTCTAAATCATGTCGCACGGTGGCTGCCACAACAGAACCCATGATTTTCCTCTTCAGCTGCAACCTTTCTCTTCAGTGATAACAGGAAAGCAGCTGATATGACAACAGGTTCTTGCATTTCAAGGCAAATGTATAGAAGGAGATGGCAAGGGGCTCCCCTCATTCCTACAATAGTTCACATGCCCTGAAAACAAGGCCTGGATTTAATAGGCTCTTTAGTTACATTTGTTTGAAGGAATGAATGCGTAGGTGAATAAGGGAGGGGTAAGGATCTGACCTGGCCCTAGACCCACACTTTCAATGGGAACAACAGCCTTGGCCCTAATTCCCCAAAAGTCATCCTCACAGCATCCCACTGGACAGTGGTCCCATCTCTTGGGGACAGCGGCCGGCCTCCACCCTCAGGACACCTCCTATTTTGGCCATGCTGAATTGGCCCATCATAGGGATGCACAAACTCAAGGGTGATTCATTAACCTGGCTGGGCCTGGTAGGAGATGGGCAGGGGGCTAAGCTCAGAAAAAGTTTGAAGTAAGTTGACTGGGAAATTAGGAGCTGGGATAGAGATGATGCAGGGGAGCAGATGGTGCCTGTCTGGCAAGAGGCTGAAACAGTGGTGCCCAGAGGGACCCCAGGCCCCTGGCCTTTTCCCTGTTAGCCTTCATAGCATGGGTTTTGGGGAGGCCCAGGAAAGTTGCCAGGACTATACCTGGACCCCCGCTTCTGGGGACTTGACTCCCAGAGAGGCTGGGTGAGGAGCATAAGCAAACCAGCCATAGGGATCTGGAAAGCCTGAGGCAGGTGGAACAAGGGGGACCAATGAGCCACAGGGGGAGATGCTTCAGAGGATAGGCAGGGTAGGTGCTGGAACCTTCTTCCTTTAGCCTCATTTTTTAAGAAAACACCATTCATAGCATATCCAGTGTCAAGAAGAATGAACTGCACGTCCCAGGTGGTGGCAGGGGTCCTTCCCACTGTGGTGGGGCTGCAGCTACTTCTCCGGACCCTGACCAGCTTCTCTCTGCTCTTGGTGAGCTTCCTCTGTAGTTATGAAGCTGCTCAGAAGAAAAAAAAATCCATTAAAAAAAAAGTAAGAAAGAAAAAAAGGAACGCTTGGGTGGCTCAGCAGTCGATCTCAGTCAGGATCTGAGCCTGGGATCCAGGATTGAGTCCCACATCGGGCCCCCTGTGGGGAGCCTGCTTCTCCCTCTGCTTATGTCTCTGCCTCTCTCTCTCTGTCTCTCATGAATAAATAAATAAATCTTAAAAAAAAAAGAAAAGAAAAAGGAAGTAAGAATGCATGAAGAGGAACTCATGGGAAAGGAGAAGTTGTGCTTTCTTCTTAAAAAAGCAATCTTGGGCAGCCCGGGTGACTCAGCGGTTTAGCACCGCCTTCAGCCCAGGGTATGACCTGGAGACCCGGGATCAAGTCCCACGTCGTGCTCCCTGCATGGGGCCTGCTTCTCCCTCTGCCTGTGTCTTTGCCTCTCTTTCTGTGTCTTCCATGAATAAATAAATAAAACCTTTAAAAAATAATAAAAGAGCAATCTGCTCCTACTGTCTACACTTCTCTGTCTCCACTGACTCTTGGTTATGACGTCTGCTGAAGTGAACATGTGAGGAGCTGCCTCCATCTAGAGCTGTTTAAGATGCACAGGGTCTTTGGCATCAGGTTTCTTAGTAGAAACACATCTGCTAGAAAAAGGTCTCCTGCTCTAGTGGCTAATTTATGATTTCTGTCTTTCTCCCTGCCCCAGACAGTGGGTGTAAAAGGCAAGTTTTGCTTCATAATTTTCTTTTTCTTTTCTTTCTTTCTTTCTTTCTTTCTTTTTTTTTTTCTTCATCATTTTCATGACAACCCAAGAGGCAGTTCCCAGGAGAGTGTGTGTGTGCATGCATGCACTCATGTGTGTGGTGGGTGTGATGTTCAGGACAGATGAAAGATACCTACCCTAGGGCATCTTCTTTGATGATGTCATGAGAGTAAGAACCCAACCACAGAATCTCCAAAAACATAGGGGTCATTGAATATCAACCAGTAAGACACTGTGGGAAAAGCTGGCACAAGACAGCAATTGCCAGCAGCCTTGCACCCATTTGGGCCAGCTGGTGAAGCTCCTGGGCTCTGACCTTGTACCCCAAGGGCTGGTTGTCACCCCCCGAGTCTGGTCACATCTTGGAGAGCTGGGCCAGGGAAGTATTCACAGAGAGGGTCCTTTGGTGCTCGTGGATCTATGGACCTTGGTCTCCAACAGAGTGACTCAAAGGCTCTTAGTCTGGTTCAAAGTTTATCCTCTCTGGCCCCAGTGGAATTTTCAGGCCGACCACTGACTAGAACCTTAAACCAAGTGAAAGTGGGAGAAAACTTCTCATTGGCTGAAGGGCAAAGAGAAGGAACTCTCACTTCCCGGTGTGGAGGAGGAGTTCCAGCTACTATGCTAGGGACAGGGATTCCCATCTCCTTCATCCCCTGGTGAGGTATTTTCCCGTGGCCTCCTAAGCCCGAGAACCAGGGCCTACCTCTTAGGACAAAAGACAAGGTGGACACATCTTCTCAGGTGTTCAGAGGGGAACGTTCCACATAGAACCAAGGGCTAGGGTGTGGGGAAGATGGAGTGATGTTGCTCAGAGGGCACAAGCTTTTGGTTATGAGTTCTGGGTTTAGTGTAGTGTGTATAGTACGATGACTACAGTTAATAATACTGTGTTTTATACTTGAAATTTGCTAAGAGGGTAGATCCGAAGTGCTCCTCCCATATCAAAAAAAAAAAGTTTGTAAAGTGATGGATTTGTTAATGAACTGGATTGCAGTGCTCATTTCACAAGGCATATAGATCTTTTTTTTTAAAAGATTTTATTTATTTATTCATGAGACACAGAGAGAGGCAGAGACATAGGCAGAGGGAGAAGCAGGTTTCCTGTGGGGAGCCTGTTGTGGGACCAGATCCCAGGACACAGGGATCATGACCTGAGCCAAAGGCAGACTCTTAACCACTGAGCCACACAGGAGTCCCAGCATATAGATCTTAAATCATCATTTACGCCCCTTAAAAAAAATCACATGTACACCTTTAATATACACAACTTTATTTGTCAATTGTTGCTCAATAAAGCTTCATGGGACAACAAAAGGCAACATTCCAAACTGATGTGTTTGTGTGTTTTCGCACGTGGGTGGACATGTCTCAGATGGGGCTGTTCCTCCTCATGTGAAGTGGTGCTACCTTCAGTGAGAGGACCCAAGGCCTGTATGTAAGTTGCAAAGTGACCAAGTCCATCCAAATGGATAAATGAAAAAACATCATTTATCTCAGACAATTTTAGTTATTAAAATAATCTAAACAAATGAATTATTATTATTATTTAAACATCATCATGTAGGAGAGGCAACATCCTTTCCCTCAGTTTTCCTGACTGCCCTCCCCAACCTTGAGGTGGTTTCTGAGGCCTAGCAGCCCCAAGGGAGAAGGGAACGTGGCTCCCTTGGAAGCCACAGAGAGCTCAGGGAGCCAGGACAGAGGAGGAGGAGGAGGAGGGAGAGGGAGGAAAGCCAGCCCTGGAGCTGGGCCCACAGAGCCTCCTGGTCCCTCCTCTGCTCAGGGTACTCAGAGAAGTGTCCTCCCTGGACAGAGGGGATGCCCCAGAACTAGGAACCCACACAGATTCCCCTCTTTGGGGTATGAGTGTGAGTGCATCCATCAGCGTTCTCATGGGCACAAGCCATCAAAATCCAACTCAACCGGCTTGAGAAAAAACCCTTTATGTATCAGAAGCTCAGACATGACACGTGCTGAGCTGGTCTCAGGAGTGAAGGAGACCAGGGTGTGGGCAGTGCTTCATGTCTCTGTCTGCACCCCTACTTCTTCTCTCTCTGCTTGGGTGCCTGGGCCTGTGCCCTGACTTCTTCCAGCGGAGAAGGCATGGCTTGAATTCCACCCCAATAGCTTCGACCATGAGCTTCAGCCCCATGGTGGGTAGGGTGGGACATCCCACTCTCGAAGGAGTGGGAACAAGGCCATGGCACCTCAAAAGGGGCCCGGGTTGTGTCTCTGAGCTGTGCAGATTGGGGTGGAAGGGTTCCCGGCCAGCCCCTCAGTGTTTCCTGCCTCTGTCACTGCGTCCTGAGGACCCAGAGGCATTTCTTTCACAGCCTGTGTCTCCTCTGGAAATGAGGTCCAGGGGCAGAAGGTTCTGCTCGTCCATCTGTCTAAGGGGTTGTGTCTTTGATGAGAAGATCAGAGGGCAAGTTCATATAGACGGTCTCTGCTGAGACCCCTTCAACCAAAGCACAGCAGCGACCAACAGGAGCAAGATGGGTACCTTCAGGAACACCAGGAGAATGTAGTGGTGCCTGCAAGAGGGGACAGAGAATGTAGTGGTGCCATCAGAGCCCCAGGCCCCGGGCCCATCACTCTCAGGGCCCCGACAGCGTGGGACATTGGCCAGCTAAGCAAAGTCTGCGACCGTGGACCTGGCAGGCCTACGCCGAGACTCCCCATGAGCCTTCTCAGTGGCTCAACCATCAGGGTTCCTCAGAAGGACCTTCAGCCTGTTGGTTTTGCTTTGCTCTGGGCCCACCTTCCTTTCTGATGGCGCCTCCCCGAGGCTCCCCTTCCCGAAGCGCATCTCAGCGCTGTAGGGTCACCCACGACAGGCTGCGTGCCTTTGCTGCTCCCATTAATGCCAGCTCGGGGTGACTGAACCACACTCCTGCTCTGCAGCACCCAGTGCCTTGCACCGTGGAGATTTTGTCCTCTCTCCCCTTGCACACTCTAGGTCATCAGGGCTTTTTTTCTTGACAACTGAATATAGAGAAAGATTCTGCAGAGCAGCTTCCTGGGGAGGGTGGAATGGGAGATGGGGGATGAGAGGCGACACCGGCAGGAGACAGTTGGTAAGAGGGGAGTGGCTTTGGGCCTTGACCCTGGCTGTGACAGCTCTGGCAACCTGTGAGGGCACTGAAGCAGAGCAGGAGAGGCCCCAGGTAGGGGCAGGGTAAGGACGGAGGCCTACACACCTGATGTAGGAGCCAGACGATGTCCCTGTATGGCCTCTGGTAGTTGTCCTGGATTGTAGGCTGGCCTGGGTGCTCAGAACCCCTAGACACAGGCAGAATTGGCCACAGGTTATGGGGACAGACAGGGGCTCATGCATGGCTCTTGGTGCCCTGCCAGGCCCCCTGGGGAGCTCCCCTGCCCCTGGACTGGGAAGCTTCGTCTCTGGATACAGTGCCCAGGCTTCTCCCTTTCTGGTGCGTTTTCTTCTTCTTTTAAAAAATATTTTATTGATTTATGTTACCAGGGGGCAGGTAGAGAGGCAGAGGGAGAGGGAGAGAATCTCAAACAGACTTTCCGATGAGCACAGAGCCCGATGCAGGGCTCCATCTCACTACCCTGAAATCATGACCTGAGCAGAAACCAAGAGGCAGAAGCTTAACTGACTCAGCGACCCAGGTGCCCTCTGCTGAGTTTTCTGAACCACCACTCAGTTACTTTCCATTGATTCAGATGTGGCGAGAAGAAATAAAAATGAATCAGGAGCATACACTGCAGTTGCTTCTGGGGAGAGATCTGGCTTTCCAGTTCTGTCCGCTTAGCCTTCTAGGTGGGACTTTCAGCCAGGGGGAGAACATCCCTGGTCCTTTCTGCTCAAGCAGCGCCTACTCTGGGCTCGAGGACAGATGGTTCTGGAAATGGGGTGCCCAGTTTTTGAGGTGGTAAGGAGGAGGACTCAGGAGGACTGGTGGATAAGAGAACACATTCAGGTTCAATCGTTAGCAATGGTTATGACAAATTAAACATCTTTATGGGAAACTGTGGTTACGATTTATGGTTGACTGCTTGGTCATGGATTCCTGAGACCAGCTTGGCACTGAGCATCCATGACCTGTTTTTTAGTTGAGTCCTAGGCCTGAGGAGACCCCAGGACAGTTTGAGGGGTCCCTGATTTTGGCATAATGGCCAAAGCCTTCCTTTCTCTTCACAACATCCACTGTTACGTGATTCCCTTCTTGGGTCCCTCTATCTCCTTGCTCACTCTTACGCAGCCAGGGAAAGTAGAGGACAGGGCGACTGGGGGCCCAGAGAGGAGAGGCACTGTTGAATGCCCAGAGCTACTCTGGGTTGCCGAAGTTCCTGGGGTTCAGGGCTTCCCCAGGTGTCTCTCCTGACCCTCTGTGTAGTGACGGGTCTGGAGCATGACTACCAGAGATTGACCACTACCTAAAGCGGTGCCCCAGGATCCTGTGCAGGCATCCAAGGTCCACCCATGCCAGGGCTGTTGGTCCCCAGGAGAGCTGGCCTGGGTCATGGGCAGTGTGTGTGGGGGTCCATATCCCCACTCCCACCCTATAACCTGCCAGCCCTGCATGCATCAGTTGAATACCTCAGGTGACCTCAGGGACTGTGATGAGGACACTCAGGTACTCAGCCATTTCCCTTCTGCCCTTGGGAGTGAGAGCCCCTCACTCTTTCTGTCCTGAGCATGAAGGCCTCACTGTGTAGACAAGAAAGTTCTTACCTGGGTCAATGGTCACTTTGATAGGTGCCCCAAGGTCAGGTCCAGGTTTGCTAATCCCACACCAGTAAGTGTCTGTGTCACTTTGCCTGACCTCCTTCATGGTCACTGTGAGCAAGCGCTGTCTCTGGTTGTCCCTGATGGACACATGGTCTCTCTTCACTTCTTGCTCTGATCCTTCTGTTTGAACAAGGATGTCACATGATTTCCAGTATGCTCCACGACACCACCACTTCTTGTAGGTCTCCCATCCTGGTGTATAGTGACACTGCACAGTCACTGAGCCCCCCTCTAGGCCCCTCACGGACTCTGGGCCTTGGATGGAGACACAGCCTAGAAAACAGAATCCCAAGATACAACTCTCTGGAGCCAGGCCTGGCCCAGGAGCCCCAAGGGCTCAAGTGGCCCCAGTTCTTGTGTCCAGGAACTGAGCCAGAGTCCCGGCCTTTGCAGCTATCACCTAGCTGACCCCAGAGATCCGCCTCCTCTATCCAGCTTCCCCAATACCTCCCATGGTGATAGTGTCCGACTTTTTTGGTCCTCACTTCCCTGGCCCCCTACTCACAGTGGTGACACTCTTGACTTTCTGACACTGTTTTTCCTTAGCTTTGAAACTCAGTCCTCATCCACTTTCTTCCTTCTCCAACTGCTCATCTCCAAGGCCTCTACTGATTTCTCTTCCTCCCTCTTTAAATCTTGGTGCAAAAGTGGTGTGTTGCTAAATACTTAACAACTAGCCCTTTGGGGAAGGAAATCTCCATTTGTGGCATTTTCCAATTTCTCTAGGGTAAATAGTCCCACCCCAGTTGATCTCAAGCAGTCAGTGCAATGTTACTGGACACACAGCTGTGAAGAGTGGGATCTTGTGAGCAGCCTGGCGGTCTCTCTCCAGGCCTCATTTTGTCCCACTTTATTACACCCCCATGGAGGGATTCTTCCTTTCTGTGATTTTGGCTATTGCCAACATGCTGATGATTCTCCCACTCCATGTCTGTGGCCCACATTCTCCCCTTAGCTCCAGCTTACCATTTCCAAATACACACTGTCCATCTCCACCCCAAAGTCAATCGTCACAAGACTAAATCCACCCTAAACTTGTTCTGCTTCAGTATTTCCGCTCTCCATCAGAAGGCTCACGTGGCAGATAGCAAAGGGCTGCTGGGAGTGGGAAAGGGTTAGAGGTTCGCACAAGTGGACAGGGTATTGTGCTGCTCTGGGGATAGATTCCAGTCAAGCTGACTGAATGAGAGTGGACCGACACTCTTTGTCCCTGGCAATGACCTCTTGTACCTTGATCAAATGGAAGTGAACAAGCACAGAGAAGCAGAGACGCACAGTGGACGTCTCTCCTGTCTTAGCCCCTCCTGACTAGCTTAGAGCTTCAGGGTCAGGCCAGGGGGGTGAGAGTATCTCCATGCGGCCACAGGAATCAGGTCTGTTGTACCGGGAAGGCGCACCTCCTCACGCCCTGGACTGTCTCCTCAATGTTCTTTTACTTCACTTGAGGTTTTCATTTGTGCTCGGTAGAATCCTGCCCCCCAAAGACGTTGACCTCCCAATCTCAAGAACGTGAAGTGGGGCAATTATCCTAGATTATTTAGTTGGGTCTGATGTCATCAGAAGGGTTTGTATAAGATGAAAAAAGAGTCAGTGTCAGAGTAAGAGTAATCTTCTTCCAGATTGGAAAAAGCCATGCTGCAGGAAGATGGATAAAGGGATTGTGAGCCAAGGAGCTTGGGCAGCCTCTGGAAGGTGAGCAAGCAGATTCTTCCCTAGAACCTTCAGAGGGAATACAACCTTGCCTACACTTTGATTTTAGCCAGTAAGACCATTTTGGACTTCTGACTTTAAGAACTGTAAGATGATAAGTTTTGTCATTTCAAGCACGAAGTTTGTGGTCATTTGTTACAGCAGCCATTGGAAAGAAGCTTAGCTCAGCAGAACTAACTCTACTCTAGAGAACTTGGCATCTTCATTGGTCCCGTCCTTCCCTTCTTCCTCTACAACTGATGGGTTAGCAATTTCGTTAACTCTACCTCAAAAACACTTCTCAAAATGATTTCCTTCTTTCCTCCCCTGCTGTCATAGTTCGTGATGACAGTATGACATAGCAGAAAGAGATTGAATTTGGACACAGAAAGGCACACCTACCACACATTACTTAGGAAGTCTTGGGTAAGCTACTTCGCTTCCCTGGGCCTTGCTTCTTCTCTATTTGCAAAATGGCTATGCTAATTTCCACTTTGCAGGTTGTTGTAAGACTTGGGTATGTGTCAAACTGCAGGTACCCTTTTGGGGGTTGCCCCATCAGTTGGAGCCTGTCACCACTCAGGAGCTCATCTGGTGCCCGGATCATGGCTGTAGCATCCAGAGAGGCTTCTCCAGCTCCTGCTGCACTCCATTCTCCAATGTCCTCTGCACATTACTGCTAGAGTTACATGCTGAAGTTGTCCCATCTTGGCCTCACCTGCACTTGTCATGAGCAGGATTTCAAGGTCTTTTCTACAGCCACTCCCCACTGCCTCAGAATGACTTAAAACACTTTAGTCGGGCATTCAACTTTTCTTTTCCTTCTAGATTCAATCTCTCTGTCCAGCACCATTTCCTGCTCTTCCCTGCCTTCCGCTGGACCCTATAGCCCACCCCTACTTTTCTCTTCTTCTGACTCTGATGTGCCCTCCCAGGTGCTATGTCACTGCTCATGTCCTTCCTTCTATCAGGAAACCCTTCTCTGAGCCCACCCCGCCTACAGGTCACCTTATTCCCTTTTCCAACCAGAACTACTTCCTCCCGTTTCTCCATATCCTTATAGGAACCTGAGTGCCACACAGATATTTTGTTACCATTACCAGTCTCTCTCTGTCTTCCTTACTAGGATGCTCTGCCCTGAAGGAGAGACTTTGTGTTTGTGTTTTCTCTCTCTTCCCCATTCCCAGTCCCCGTGTCTTGCACGGTATCTGGATCCTGGAAGTTACTAATAAAGTTTATGATTGTTTTTGCAAAGGAGCTGGCTGTCATGATCTTGGACACAATCATTTTGATTCTGGCATGAATTACAATTTCCATACCAGAGGCCACTAAAGTGGAAGGCTGCCAATTGCAGGGCTAATGTAATACATGGTAGACTCTGGAAGCAAATTCAAATATCACTACTGGGAGATCAGGCTAATAAATAACTGTCTACCCATACCATGGTTAAAAGAAGAAGACACATCACAAATAATAATAGGGAAGATGTCCCAGATATGTTATTATCAGGTTCTTAAAAAGTTGCCTAACAGAGTGTTTGGATTCCGCTTCTATGGTTTTTCTGCAGTGCATGCATAGAAAAAAAATAGGGCAATAGGTGTTGTAAACTCTTAATAGCGGTCTGTGCTGAAACTGGGGTTTGGGGGGGAATTTCACTGTTTAAGTCATACATTTCTAGTATGTGAAAAATGTTTATAATTACCTGACAAAAACAACTAGGAAGAGATTTTAATAATTGAAGACTCAATTAGGAAAAAAGTTGCTAAGAGACAGTAATCAGTGTCAATGAAAATCAAATACAAGAGTCAGCAGAAAGGGTCATTTTCCTTCTTAGGACAAAACAGACAACACAGCTATGATCCAAAGTTGAGGGTCAGTGAAGATGGTATTTGCCAATAATCATAAACAGGATTAGAGACGTTGTTGACTCAAAATAGGAGTTCATCAATTCCAACTTTGCAAATTTAATCTGGCAATAAAGCATTCATAATGTGATTAGGTTTGTTTAAAAAATATGTGGGAAGTTTTCATAAACACAGACTGTGATAGATGGAACTACTAATCAGTGTTTTTTTTTTTAAGATTTTATTTATTTATTCATGAGAGACACAGAAAGAGAGAGAGGCAGAGACGCAGGCAGAGGAAGAAGCAGTTTCCATGCAGGGAGCCGGACGTGGGACTCGATCCCAGGTCTCTAGGATCACACCCTGGGCTGAAGGCGGGGCTAAACTGCTGAGCCACCCAGGCTGCCCCATAATCAGTGTTTTGTCGAGAGTTGGTCTGAAGGAAAATGGAGATGCTAGGAGAGCAGTCGGCTGGAAGCAGAGCTCAGGAACAGGGCATAAAAGCATACAGCTGTTTGAATCTCAGTTTTTCCTTTCCCTGACTCTGAGATGTAACCTCTCTCCTTCTTGTCAATCCTTTGGGAAAGTTTGCCACGCACGCACAATCCTTGTGTGAATAATCTTGTGTCAAAGTCAAGAAAATAGTTGAGCTCCCTATCTGGGTTGATAGCAAGGCAATCAAGGGGAAAGCTCAGAGCAGAGGGGCTCGTGGGGGTGCGGGATGTATTAGGGGGTTTGAGCCCACCTTGTTTTGCACAGAAGGGACAGGCATCCCTGCTGGTGGCCCCATGCATCTGTGCCAGCTCAAGCTCTGAAGAGTAATTTCTGGGATACAAATCTGTTCTACTGTTCCTCCACTTACAAACACTTACGAAGTGCCCATCTATGCCAGTGCCCTACCTTCCTCTCAGGGCTGCTGCAGGACTGTGTAATGGAGCAGACAGGAACATCCTCCTGGAAGTTGAGTCATTCTGACTTCACCTCATCCACTTTCTCTCCTTTTCATTTCACAGAAGTAACCCAGAGCACCTAATGGTGGTCTGTTAGTGGGGTGGCTTTCTTGCATCACTGACTATTTCACTCCCTTCCCTCCTGAAGTTACAGAGTTGGAGGAGGAGAGACACCCTGCCCTGTCTCTGCAGCCAAGCCCGTCCTGCCCAGAGCAGGCAGAACAAAGCCAGAGAGCAGCCACTGTCATCTCAGCCTTCAACTAGGGGAGAAGACTTTTTTTTTTTATAGATTAATTTTTATTGGTGTTCAATTTACCAACATACAGAATAACACCCAGTGCTCATCCCGTCAAGTGTCCCCCTCCGTGCCCGTCACCCATTCACCCCCACCCCCCGCCCTCCTCCCCTTCCACCACCCCTAGTTCATTTCCCAGAGTTAGAAGTCTTTATGTTCTGTGTCCCTTTCTGATATCTCCCACACATTTCTTCTCCCTTCCCTTATATTCCCCTTCACTATTATTCATATTCTAGGGGAGAAGACTTTTGGGTGAGTGTGTACATATAAGGGACACTGTGTGTGTATGTGTATGCATGTGAATGCATGAGCACACAGATGTGAATGGGGGCATGACTGCATGTGAGTGTGTGCATCTGACTTCATTGTGTGGTTGTGTTGTGTGTGGGAACCCGGGCAGTTCACCCTTCCCCTTGGCCTCTGGGTGAGCTGGATATTGGGATTAAGAGAGGGGGCAGATGGGGGTTTCTGAACTCAAATGCAAAGCTAGAGTCCAGGGGGAGAGGCAGACAATCTGAACTGCTGTCTTTGGGAATTCTGGGCCATTTGGAGTCCCGCCTAGGGAGCATAGTGTTCACAGAGAAGCCGCTGCCCTCCCCATCCATCTATAGATATCAGCACGGGGCTACTCTGCCACCGATAAAATCAGCAATGGCAAGGTTAATTCTAGAATGACCCCAGATCTCGTCTATTCACATCTGATCTGCATAGCAGGGTCTCACAACATTATAGCCAGGAAGGGTGTAGAGACCTTCCATTCACACTAGAAATCCAGGTCTTAGAACAATGAGGGACTTGCCCATGTCATGTGCCGCTGTCAGGACTGGAACTCCAGTCTCCCAACTCCCTGACGAGGCCCTTTCTTGGGAATCCCTGTGGACCAGTCTGTTTTGCTAGATGGTCTGCCTCCTGGCTCATAGAGGAGGCTGTATGTGGCCCACAGATATGGCATGCAGTGTGCAAACTTTTGGACTGACCCCAATGTCTTCTCAGTGTATGCAGTGGCTTTCCACAGAGGAAAAGATACATGACCTCTTCCCATCTCCCACTTGGGTTCCTGAGCAATCTTCTCTTAAAGTCTCAGTTCCTGGGCATGCCATCCATCCAAGGGTCTTCTTATTTTGTCTTGTGTGCTTCCAACCTCATGGCCAACCAGTCTCCCCCAGGGTCCCCTGAGCACTGAGGCCCCTGTGCATGAATGCACCATCCTTTCTCAAGCCTCCATATCCTGGCCAAGCAGTCCCCTCTCTCTGAAATGCTCTTCTCCCTTCTCTGCTTGAAGGGCTGATCCCTTTAAAGGACATCAAATGGATGGTGTCTATGTGGCTGTCTGCAGCTCCTTTAGCCAGACCTGCTTGGGCCTCTGAGCACACCTCCGTCGATGCCTCATCATATCCTGTCACTGGTTGCTGTTTATTTGCACGTCTCACCCACTGAGCTGTCTGGAGTCTTCTTTTTAATGGCCAATCCTGTTTCTTTTTTCCCTTCAAGTCCTGAAGGCCTGGTGTATGTCTGGCATAAAGTAAGAACCCAGTGTTCTTAAGGAGTCCTTAAACCCCATTCAGCATTTCTGGATAAATTAACAAAGCCACCTCTTATTTCCCCAGGTACAGCACCTCCCTCTCTGCCTGGACTAGCTCTCGGCCCCCTGCCCCACCCCAGGGGTACCAGGTCCCTGGGGCCTCCCCCACCAAGCTCACCTGGGAGGCTGAGCAGGAGAAGAACTGGCTGCAGCTGCATGGTCCTGCCTCCCGGGCTCCTGGCCCCTCTGACTGACAACTGGAGAGCACACTTGGATCCCAGCTGGACTCTCACAACTCGGCCTGAGGCCACGCTTGCACTTTGTTTGTCTGGACTGCCTTTGCGTATTCTGACCCATTCACTTCCTCTTGTAGAGTATTTCCTGTCTTTAATTATTCAGCAAATTGAGTGTCATTTCTTGGAAGGGCTCGGGGAATATGTGTCTTATTACACTTTTCCATTACAAAGGAAAGAGGAGACTACATATGTGGAGTGAGGAGTGGGGAGGGGCAGGATGAGATGTATCTGCAAATGGGGCAGAGCAAAGGGCATCTGGCCTACCATGCTTTGGGTCAGGAGGTATAGTAGTCTGGGTATCAACTCCAGAAATGTTTCTCTACCACAACAATGGGTCCCAGCAGCAGGAAACAGCTCCTCCTTCCCACTCAGGTGTCACATAAGCAAGCTTGGCATACTTGGAGATGCATTTGTTCAGGTGTTATAACCAACGGCATAAAAGTGCAGGTTAGAGGACTGGACAGGCCTGGTCTCTAACCCCAAGCACCACTTAATAGCGATGATCATGGACAACTTACTGAACTTTTCTGAGTCTCAGGTTTGTTTCTATAAAATGGGCTCATAAGAGTTCTCATGGGAATTAAATGAGAAAAAGTATATGAAGCTCTGAGGACACAATCCTGGGATAGGGCTAACACCCTACATTTGTATTCGTGCCCTGGACAAAACTTCAGATGTTAGATGAAGAGTTGCGTAAAATAGGCCCAAGGCAGGAGACTGAGATAGCCTGGGTTTCCTCATTAGTAATAAGACAAATTCTAGCCTTAACTTGACATAATTTAGTTAAGATCTTGATTTATAACCCAGTAGCTAAAATTCTTGAAGAAAACCTTTGGGAAGCACATAAAGGTACTTCTTCCCTGGTGTCCAGGGCCGGCTATGGAAGGAGGAGGTCTTCCTGGAGGTTCTATAGTTGGGGGCACAATCAGAAGGGCTAAGAGGAGGAAGAAGGCTCAGACCTGTAGTGATGCAAATCATATTGTACGTAGTAATCAAAACAGTATGGGACCAGCATAAAAGCATATCGATCAGAATTGAGGGGCACCTGCCTTTTGATCTTGGGGTCATGAGTTCAAGCCTCATGTTGGGTGTGGAGATTACTTAAATAAGTAAAACTTTAAAAAACTACATAGATCAGAATTGAAAGCCTACAAAATAAACCCCTACTTATAAAGTCAACTAATGTTTGACAAGGGAGGCAAGAACAGCCAATGGAGAAAAGGATTATCTCCTTAAGAAATGGTGATAGGAAAACTGGAGAACCATTTGCAAAAGAATGAAACTGGACCCCTCACAAATATTAACTTAAAATGGATTAAGACATAAACCTAAGAACCAAAACTGTGACATTCACAGGAGAAAACGGGAAAAAAAAATCCATGACCTTGGTCTTGACAACAATTTTTGAATGTGATACCAAAAGCACAAGAAACAAAAGCAAAGATTAATAAGTAGGACTGCATCAGATTAAAAACCTATGGGGCAGCCCGGGGGGCTCAGGGGTTTAGCGCCACCTTCAGTCCAGGGTGTGATCCTGGAGACCTGGGATGGAGTCCCACGTCGGGCTCCCTGCATGGAGCCTGCTTCTGCCACTGCCCGTGTCTCTGCCTCTCTCTCTCTGTCTCTGTGTTTCTCATGAATAAATAAATAAAATCATTTAAAAATAAAAAATAAAAAAATAAAAACTTGTGCCCAGCAATAGAAACAATGAAATAAAAAGATAACCCTCAGAATGGGAAGAAATATTTGCAAATCATATATCAGATAAGGGGTGAATATCCCAAATATATAAAAAGCTCATACAACTCCCTAACAACAACAACAACATAACAACTCCTAATAATATGATTGGGCTGGGTTTTTAAGAAATATGTGGATGGGGAGTGTCTGAGTGACTCCATTGTTTGGGTGGCCGACTCTTGATTTCAGCTCAGGTCATGATCTCAGGGTCCTGGGATGGAGCCCTGCATTGCGCTCTGCACTCGGTGGGGAGTCTGCTTGAGATTCTCTCTCTCCCTCTCCCTTTGCTCTCTGTCTTTCTCATCAATCAATCTTAAGAAAATAAATAAAAAATAAAAAAATATTTGCAAAATTTTCATAAACACAGGCTGTGATGAGTGGAATTATTAATCCTGTCTAAATGTTTTGTCAAGAGTTGGTCTGAAGGAATCTTGCCTCACATTTAGATCTTTCATCCATTTTGAGTTTATCTTTGTGTATGGTGCAAGAGAGTGGTCTAGTTTCATTCTTCTGCATGTGGATGTCCAATTTTCCCAGCACCATTTATTGAAGAGACTGTCTTTCTTCCAATGGATAGTCTTTCCTCCTTTATCAAATATTAGTTGACCATAAAGTTCAGGGTCCACTTCTGGGTTCTCTATTCTGTTCCATTGATCTATGTGTCTATTTTTGTGCCAGTACCACACTGTCTTGAGGACCACAGCTTTGTAGTACAACCTGAAATCTGGCATTGTGATGCCCCCCAGATATGGTTTTCTTTTTTAAAATTCCCCTGGCTATTCGGGGTCTTTTCTGATTCCACACAGATCTTAAAATAATTTGTTCTAAGTCTCTGAAGAAAGTCCATGGTATTTTGATAGGGATTGCATTAAACGTGTAAATTGCCCTGGGTAACATTGACATTTTCACAATATTAATTCTGCCAATCCATGACCATGGACTATTTTTTCATCTCTTTGTGTCTTCCTCAGTTTCTTTCAGAAGTGTTCTATAGTTTTTAGGGTATAGATCCTTTACCTCTTTGGTTAGGTTTATTCCTAGGTATCTTGTGCTTTTGGGTGAAATTGTAAATGGGATTGACTCCTTAATTTCTCTTTCTTCAGTCTCACTGTTAGTGTATAGAAATGCCACTGATTTCTGGGCATTGATTTTGTATCCTGCCACGCTACCAAATTGCTGTATGAGTTCTAGCAATCTTGGGGTGGAAGCTTTTGGGTTTTCTATGTAGAGTATCATGTCATCGGCGAAGAGGGAGAGTTTGACTTCTTCTTTGCCAATTTGAATGCCTTTAATGTCTTTTTGTTGTCTGATTGCTGAGGCTAGGCCTTCCAGTACTATGTTGAATAGCAGTGGTGAGAGTGGACATCCCTGTCTTGTTCCTGATCTTAGGGGAAAGGCTCCCAGTGCTTCCCCATTGAGAATGAGATTTGCTGTGGGCTTTTCGTAGATGGCTTTTAAGATGTCAAGGAATGTTCCCTCTATCCCTACACTCTGAAAAGTTTTGATCAGGAATGGATGCTGTATTTTGTCAAATGCTTTCTCTGCATCTTATGAGAGGGTCATATGGTTCTTGGTTTTTCTCTTGCTGATATGATGAATCACATTGATTGTTTTACGAGTGTTGAACCAGCCTTGTGTCCCGGGGATAAATCCTACTTGGTCATGGTGAATAATTTTCTTAATGTATTGTTGGATCCTATTGGCTAGTATCTTGTTGAGAATTTTTGCATCCATGTTCATCAGGGATATTGGTCTGTAATTCTCCTTTTTGGTGGGGTCTTTGTCTGGTTTTGGAATTAAGGTGATGCTGGCCTCATAGAACGAATTTGGAAGTACTCCATCTCTTTCTATCTTTCCAAACAGCTTTAGTAGAATAGGTACGGTTTCTTCTTTAAACGTTTGATAGAATTCCCCTGGGAAACCATCTGGCCCTGGACTTTTGTGTCTTGGGAGATTTTTGATGACTGCTTCAATTTCTTCCCTAGTTATTGGCCTGTTCAGGTTTTCTATTTCTTCCGGTACAGGTCTTTACTTGCAAGCACTTACAGAGCACCCACTCACCAATGCCTTCGACAAGTTTATTATTTATTTATTTATTTATTTATTTATTTATTTTTTATTTATTTTTATTTTATTTTATTTTATTTTATTTTATTTTATTTTATTTTATTTTTATTGGAGTTCAATTTGCCAACATATAGCATAATACCCAATGCTCATTTCACCAAGTGCCCCCATCAATGCCCATCACCCAGTCACCCCAACCCCTTGCTCACCTCCCCTTCCACTAGACAAGTTTAGAGTCCCCCTAACAGGGCACACAGGTTTCCACTCCTCCACATTCTCGCTGAAGCTTGCTCTCTCTTGTCTTTTTGGTGATAGACATTCTGACAGGTGGAAGCGATGTCTCATCATGGTTTTGATTTGCCTCTCCCTGACGAGAAGAGATGTTGAGCACCTTTTAATGTACCTGTTGCCCATTTGTATGTCTTCTTTGGAAAAATGTCTATTTGGTTCCTCTGCCCATGTTTTTGTTTAATAAAAAGATTTTATTTATTTATTTGACAGAGAGAGAGAGAGAGCAAGCACAAGCAAGGGGAGCAGTGGGGGGAGAGGGAAAAGCAGGCTCCCTACTGAGTAGGGAGCTGATGTGGGCTCCATCTCAGGACTGTGGGATTATGACCTGAGCTAAAGGCAGATGCTTAACAGACTGAGCCACCCACCCAGGTTCCCCCTGTTGTATTTCTTGAGAGAGAGAGAGAGAGAGCATGAGTGCAGGGAGAGGGACGGAGAGAGAGGGAGAGAGAATCTTACTCCCCATGCTCAGTAAAGTCCAACATGGAACTTGATGAGGCACTTAATCTCATGACTCTGAGATCATGACCTGAGTCAAAATCAAGAGTCAGGGACACCTGGGTTGCTTGGGGGTTGAGCGTCTGCCTTTGGCTCAGGTTGTGATCCCAGGGTCCTGGGATCGAGTCCCGCATCAGGCTCCCTGAGGGGAGCCTACTTCTCCCTCTGCCTATGTCTCTGCCTCTCTCTGTGTCTCTCATGAATAAATAAATAAAATCATTTTTAAAAAATCAAGAGTCAGATGCCTAATCCACTAAGCCACCTCTCTCTGCCCATGTTATAATTGGATTGGCCAAAGGATACAAACTTTTGATTATAAGATGAATATATTCTGGAGACCTAATGCATAACACGGTGACTACAGTTAATAATAATTATTATACACTTAAAAGATGCTAAGAGAGCAGATCTTAAATATTCTCACCACGAAAAAGAAATGGTAGTGATGTGGCACGATGGAGATGTTAGCTAATCCCACAGTGGTAACCAATTTGCAATATGTGTGCATCAACAACACGCTGAGCCTTCATGCCACGTAATATGTCAGTTGTATCTAAATAAATCTGGAAAAAATAAAATAAACTTGGGGACCATTAAAAAATACATGTATATAGTTTGAAAATATGTATGCATATATGTGGCAACCTCATGAAGAAAACTAGGAGAAAATGAATGTAAAATTCATAGTGGTTTCCTCAGAGAGGACCTTGGGGTTTCAGAAATATTAACAGTGTTTTTTACTTAAGCTGTGAGGTGGGCTCCCGAGGGTTGAAGTGTATTTGGAATTTAAGGAGTGTGCATTTATTGGGAACGTTCTCAATGTCTATGATACATTGCAGGAAAAGTCACAAAAACGTTTACAGAGTATTCTGATGGAAATACAGACAATGGCTGGATGAATTGTTCAGAGGCCCATTCCCATCCATCAGAGGGACTGTGTTCTGGGCGGGTCTTGGTGTTACCGGTTTTCCTTATCAAGCGGTCTCTGCCTCCCCCCAGAACCCTTCTGAGGTCTGTTCACCTAGAGAACAGCACTGAGGAGGCCCAGGAGCAAGGGCCCCTCCAGGAAGATCAGGAGCAGGAAGTAGATCCTGCTGAGCAGGGACCTGTAGGGGACACAGGGACAGACGGTGAGCCACACATCCTCAGGGAGAGGCCTGGTACCCTCCACTGTCCTTCTGTCCCTGGGCCCATGTCCTGAGGCCACAGCAGTCCACACAGAGATCAGTCCCAGGTGGGTCCATGGGCAGGGCAACCCCACACAACAGACCACTCCCGTGACCCTCAGGCTAACAACTGTCCTTGAGACAGGACTGTGGATGCGGAAAGGGCCCAGCCACTGGAGTGACATGAGGGACACGCCAAGGAGTGGGCAGGGCCTCAGCTGGGAATTGAGGTCTACCTAAGCCCTCCCCATTTGGGGGTTACCCTGTGTGGGGGACAGACATCAGTGCCAAGGTTATTGTTTGATGTTTGCTCTCCCATAAACAGTATTTCCCAGGAGGGGTTGGAAATGTTTGCCTCAGTCCCAGGGAGCATCTGGCACCTGTGCGGTACCTCTAAAAGGTTAGCCTTAAAATTCAGTGGGTGGAGATGGAAGGAAGGAATGACCTCACTCACCTCTCCCCTCCGTCAGAGGCCTGGTCTTCAACAGGATGACTCTCTATCCAGGGCCTGTGGGGGAAGCAGGGGAGAGAGTGCAGGGGTCACTGAGCCCCAGAGCACCTGGCCTGGGCCAGGATCCGAAGGCCCCCTTTGGAAAACACTTACACTTGCTCTTCCCTGTCCCTGGAGACCGATTTCTGCAGGCACCTGAGAGCTGGGTCCTCAATCCTGCAGGCCTCCAGGGAAATGTCCTCTCCCTGGCGAGGCCTCTCTGATCATTGTGTATTAGATAACGATCCTGTCACCTGTCACCCTCCCACACATGCTCTCCCAGACTCATCTGTCCTATTTCCCGCAAGCATTCATCACAAACTGGCACACTTCGAATGATGAATGTGCTGACTTCTTCACTGTGCGAATTTCCCAACTTTTGTCAGAGCAGGGTTGTGTCTAGGTGGCCCAGAGCCGTGTCCTCAAAAAAACGGCAGGCACTTGTAGGACTTCCACAATTAGACGTGGAATTAGTAAAGAAGTGAGGGACCTAGGTCAAGAGAGCCCCACCCCCATTCCTCACCCCTCCGCGTTGCCTAGAGAGCACCCTGGTGTCAGAAATCTCCAGCTGCTGACCCCTTACCCAGCACGTTGCCTGCTGTTGGAGGTCTCCTGTGGGGTTGCGGTGCTCCACGTGGATGCTGGCAGGATCGTAAAAAGAACTGAGGTGCTGGTGGGCCTCCCAGAACTGGGGTCTTCTGGGAGAGAGGGAGAAACCCATGTCAGGCCTGCTGTCTTCCCCCAGGCTCCCCCTCTCTCTCTGCTGTGAGGTTCTGACTCACAGAGTCCAGGTCACTCAGGCCACCTGGACAGATGTCCTGGCTTCAGCATCCCCCCACAGCTATGCCCAGGCCTGACTGGGACTTGGCCCTTCCCTTGACCCGCCCTCCAGGGGTGCACCCTGGCCAGGTGGACACTTTCAGATGCAGAGTGATCCTGCTTCCTGGGGAACATGAGAGTGTGTGGAGAGAGCACCTGGGTCTGGTCTCAGCCACACCACACCTTGTTTACCCCAGCAGAGGATGGGGTGAGGTTTAGTCTGTAGAGATGGATCCAGAGTGTGGGGTGGGGTAGGGTGCGGCAGGGTCCTCAGGCATGGCTATGTCTGGAGTGAGGGTCACAAAGCAAGGCACTCAGCAGAGTCTAGTCGACCCTGAATTGAGGGTCGACCCTGGCACTCAATGACTCGGCCCCTGAATTGTCAGCCAGGCCTGGAACCTGGGTGGCCACTGGACAGTCCTCTCTGGGGTGGGGAATGACCTGAAAGAAAGATCTAGAGAGACAGACATACACCCAGTGGACCCCATAGAAAGAAGTCTGTCTTGAAGCCAACTGGACAAAGGTGTTTCCCTCGAAGGGCAGGTGGTGTCCGTGGACACTCAGCTCCTCACTGTTAAACAGGAATCCACAGAAGGCATGGGAGGGAAATGTCCCGTGTGAGAGAAACAAAGACCTACAGAAAGGACCCCAGAGGAACCAGAGAGAAATTCAGAATAAGAGCACAAGATACAAATCTACAGCCTTCGATGGATGACCTCCCTGCAGGTCTTAGGCAGCAAAAACAGAGTTCTAGTAAAGAAGAACTATTGGGACGCCTGGGTGGCTCAGTGGCTGAGTGTCTGCCTTTGGCTCAGATTGTGATCCCAGGATCCTGGGATCAAATCCTGCATTGGGCTCCCCACAGGGAGCCTGCTTCTCCCTCTGCCTGGGTCTTTGTGTCTCTCATGAATTAAAAAAAAAAAAAAAAGAAACTATTTGCAGCACATGGAAGTATATTTGGGGTCATATAGGACCTGAGAACTCATTGTTCTCATCCTTCTTCTCCTTTGTCTGCAGGGGGAATTTTAGGGGAATCTCTGGGCTCCCTTCTGTGGGGACAAGGGGCCAGAGGGGGAGGGAAGGGTCAAGCTGGAGGGGCTGAGTGGTCCCCAAATGGTCACAGTAGCCCCCTCTCGAGGCTGCAGCAGACCCCCTAGGATCAGAGCTGTGAGGCTGGAGCCTCATGAACCATCCATGACCCAGTCATGTCCAGGCACAGGGGCAGCCAGTAAGGGAGGGGAGGAAATGCCCTAGGGGTCCTAGGGAAGACAGAGTGAGGTCCAGGAAGAGACTCGGGTCCCCTTGAGTAAGGACAGGACCCTTGTTAAGACAGGAAGGCAGACTCAGGGCCATTCCCACTCATCCCCCCGTGAGAGCTTTAGGGGTGAGAGTGTGTCAGGACATAGTGTACAGAGGCACCAAGGACAACCAGAGGTGTGCCTGTGCGTGTTGAGTGTGCAGACAACACAATGCGCACATGCACAAATGCACACATGCCTAGACATGCACTCGCACATATAACAGATTCCACACATGGACACACACACACACACATAAGGACATATACATGCACGTCCGGGGTGTCCTGCGTCACCGACCCCAGCCTGACCCCGCTTTTCTCTCCCACATCCCACTACTCTCCTGACAGAGGCAGGGCGATCAGCCCGGTCTCAGGCAGCCCAGGTGCTGGTGCCGGGGGAGGGGGTGTGCACAGCTCACCTGGGGTCACAGATACCACAACAGAGAAGGTGGGGTCAAGCCACGGTGTGTCGATCCCACACTTGTATGTTCCTGCATCGCCTTCTGTGAGGCTTTTCAAGGTCACTGTGAAGGTGAGGTTTGCAGGATGGTCCCTGATGGACACGCGGCCTTTGGTCACTTTTCTCTGTGACTCTGTGGTCTCCACGATCTTCTTCCACACACATGGGCTTTTGCACCAGTATTTGTCATGGTCTCTGAATTCCTCCTTGTACTGACACCACACACTCAGGGATCCCCCCACGGTGCCCGACACGGAGTCGGGGCCACGCAGAGACGAACAGCCTGGAAAACACAGCCAAGTGTGGCTCCTCAGCAGACGGGTCTGGGTTAGGGGGATCTGGGGACAAGGTGACCCTTGAGTCCCTCGAGGGCCCTCGGGGTCTGGCAGAGGCCTTTCCTGAGACCAGAGGGAGGGGAAGTAGCTCCCCCATCACTGAGAGGCACAAGGAGAGGGTGTCCGTGGCATGGGTGTGTGTGTGATGCCCTGAGACGTCATTTCTGACCGTGACACCATGGGTAAGGGTGGTCCTCTCGTCACTGCTGCTCTGTCCTGAAGAGTGGACACGACTCACCTGCTTAGGCACTGAATCTTCCTGTCACTGCTGAGGCCATGTTGGCTGATCCTAGAATCTTCTCTGCTCTCCTGCCTTCCCCCTACATCCACCTTCCCTCCCTTTGGGCCACCCTGCATCCACAGTCCCCCTGCCTCCCTCCCTCCCTCCCACTCGGGGCAGACTTCCCTGCCTAGGCTTGGCCCCACTCACCTGGAACCTGCAGAAGGAGCAGAGCTGCAGGTAGCCACACCATCCAGTCCCACGTGGTCATGTCTGCAGCACAGCTGTCACCCCTGCAATGCCAGGTACCCGGGGGGTACCAGTTTCAAGCCTCAAAAACAGAGGATCTGCTGTCTACACCCCACTTCTGCTTTCTCAGGCCTCTTTGCTTCCTCATCCAACCTGTCATTGTTCTCCACAAACTTCTTCCACGATGACTCAAGCTGCTTGGGTGCATGAAGTTCAGGGAGGGAGGAGCACGGGCTGAGAAAGAGCCCTGGACCTAGTGACTCAGGCACCTCTCAATCCCAATGACGGGAAGGCTCCAGAGTCAGGTCCAGCACTGGACTGGGATTGCTGAACCCTCCACAGCCCACAGCCGATCCTCCCACGGTCCACACTCACTGCACACAGTGGAGGCTTTCCTCCTCATTGGGACTTCCGTACCTTGTGACACATCACTTCCTTTATCAAGACGGACCTTGTCCGGGGTGGATCCCAGAGCAGCCCATCCTCACCACCCTCAGTGGTGATCACATTGGTATTAGGATCCTGCAGCCTGCAGCTCCAAGCACCCACAATCCACATGGGACATCTGTTCTCCTCTGGCCACACAAGTTGACACTGTGATCTCAGATGCTTTCAAAGGTCCCATTTTGGTTCTGGGTTCCCAAGCAGGGTACAAATCCCTCAGGCTGTGCTTCCCTCCTGTGCGTTTCTCTGTTTTCCGGACACAGATGTAGAGTGATGTCACCAACCCCATGAGCACCTCCCTTTTGATTTCTTCTTCTTTGGGAAGTCCACGCTACTGTGACTCACAGGGCAGAGTATTGAGAATGGACAAGAGTGACCAGAGATGGAAGGTGCTGATGGGGCGGTGGGGACATGGGACGGTGAGACTGGGCTCCTCCTCTCCATCCAATGGCCCAAGGGGGTGGTTGTGTAATGAGAGGGTGTCTGTCAAAGCACTGCCTGCCAGGATCCCTTTTGGTTCAGAGAGGTGACGATGGCGTCTTCCAGGTGCAGATTTAGGGGATGGTCCTCTCCAGGAGGTGGGAAGGCGGGTCTGTCCTAACTTAAATTGGCTCATTCTCATGACCTGATGGGTTTGGGGTGAGGTTGCCCTAGAAATGGCAGGGAGGCAGGTCAAGGTGCCACCCCCGACATCTTGCCTGGGCTATGCCAGCCTCTGAACCTTGTCATGCACAACCAGATCCATCAATTTCCCTGAAACGCTCTCTCCCCAGATCTGCTCTTCCTCCACACTCTTATCCAGATCAAAGGCAATAATACTCCCAGCATTATTGTAACCAGACCCTGTCACCCAGGGTTCCTCTCTCTCCTACTCCTCCCAAATGCTTATTCTGGAGCTCTCCATCTGCCCATATGCCCTCTTCCTCCTGACATCACAACTGTCCTTTATTCTCTCAGTGCAATGGTGACATCCCTGTTCTTCTCAGTCCACTCATGCCTGGTCCTCCCTCTTTTCCATTCATCAGCAAGAGAACACTTGTCAGTATACCCTGGACACCTTTTGTCCCACACCATTCAAATGAAACCTACTCTCCTTGCTTGGCTTACACAGCCTGAGTGGGTCTGGCCACGGCTATGTTTGTAGTTCCATCTTGCTCCCCACCCCAAGTGGCCTGTGCTCCAACCACAATGCCCGACCCTCCCCAGGGCTTTACCATCTGCTTGTCCCTCTCTCTGGATCCTTTGCCCAACTCTTCTCACTGCTCTTTCCTTCTTACTCTTTAGATTTCACGTTGGATGTCACTCCTTCAGCAATTCCTTCCAGATCACTCTTCCAAGGGGTCACCCTGTTATCCCAATCACCGACCCCTGTTTGGTTCCTCCATAGTTCACCAAACCTCATTAATACAGTTTCTTTTGGTGGTTTCTATCTATCTCCACCCTAGGACAGAGCTCATATCATAGCACTGTTCTGGATCTGTTCCATTCATCACAGAATGACCTGGGGCCCAGTTGCAGTATATCACAAATGGTCAGCATATGATAAATATTTACTGAATGAGTGAATGAGTGAATCCAGTGAATGAATAAAGAGTGAATTGGCAGCAGATATTGACCCTAAGCAAGTGTGGTCGAACTAGATTCGATATCTGTCACAGCATAACAAATTCCCCCAATACATTAGCAGCTGAAAACGACAAACATTTCTTATCTCACACTTCCTGAGAGTCACAAATCTGAGAGTGGCTTATCTGGGTAGCTGTGGCTCAGGGAGTCTCTTGCACGAAGTTGCAGTCAAGATGTTGACCAAACTATACTCATCTGAGGGCTAGATTGACCTGGAGGATCTGCTTCCAAGATGGCATGCTCACATGCCGGTTGGCAGGAGACCTTAGCTCCTGGCTCTATAAACTGCAGGAGTGTCTTCATGATATGGCAACTAGCTTCTCCCAGAGGGAGTGATCCAAGAAAGAGCAAGGCACAACATGTTTATGATTTATCCTTGGAAGTCATATGCCATTACTTCTGCCATATATGTGGACCCCACACCCACCTGGATAGAATGCAGAAGAGCCCTGCCTGAGGATGTGGATATCTGATCTGAGTGGTGACTTGGAAAGAATATCACTTCCTAAAATACCAGTAAGCTGTGTATTTATGATTTGTGCAATTTCCTGTTCTGGTGTAACACTGCAATAAAAGAATTTATTTTTTAAAATATTTTATTTATTTATTAGTGAAAGACACACAGAGAGAGCGGCAGAGACACAGGCAGAGGGAGAAGCAGGCTCCATGCAAGGAGCCCAACGTGGGACTCGATCCCGGATCTCCAGGATCAGGCCCCGGGCTGAAGGCGGCGCTAAACTGCTGAGCTACTGGGGCTGCCCATCAATAAAAGAAATTAAAGACCAAAAACCAAAATGTGAAAGTATACCTCTCAAACTTTGCTTGAGCCTTTGGGGGAGGTTTGCTGTTTGTTGGTCTTTATTCACAGGGCAAAGAGTTTGCACAATCCCCCTCCCCGACCCAGCTACCTTGCCAAAAGCTCAGACAGTCAACAAAGTGACCGGAAGCATATTATAAGTGATGATGTCAAGACTCGAACCCTGATTCCTCTGGCATGACTGCTCAAGTGCTTTCCCCTCGTATACCATGCCTGGCAGGGAGACAGTGGCCAAGAGCCAGCAAGAGGGAGAAGCACCATCTTCAGACCCATGAAGCGGAATGAAAGGGTTAGGCAACTGGTGGCCATTGTATCCCAAATTGAGAACTTGTCAGGGACTCACTGCTTCCCGAGTCTTCTCAGCCCACCACCATCTCTGCTTCTCTCACTTCCCCAGTGCATCTTTCTTTTCGGAAAACACTTCAGTGTCTGCGGCTCCTGGCTGAGCTGTGAAGGTGGAAGATCCACTAGGCAAACAGAGCAATTACAACAGAAACTTGACTTTAGGTTTGAGTACGTGCTGTGACGGTTAGTGTTATGTGTTAATTGGCCGTGGGCTGCTCAGATGGAACATTATCTCTGAGTGTGTCTGAAAGAATGTTTCTGGATGAGATTAGCATTTGAATTTCTGGACTCAGTGAGGTAGGTTGCTCTTCCCTGGGTATGTGGGCCTCATCTAATCTGTTGAGGGTCTGAGTAGAATGGGATGATCAGCTGAGGAGGAATTCACCCCTTGCTGCCTGGTGGCTTCATTTGGGAAATCTACACTCCTCCGATCCACCCTCTGTACTCCTGGCTTTCAGACTTTTGAACTTGGAATGAATTAATGAATTACACCACCGGTTTTCTTGGCTACTCCTCAGCTCCCATCACTGTGGGATCCTATTCCTTACAATAAGCTCTTCATATACATATTTTTCCTATCAGTCTATTTCCAGGGAACCCTGACCAATACACGTGTGTATTTGACCCTGTGACAATTTACTTCTTCAAACCCCAACCCTGTGCATGAGGACCTAAAACATGAAGATCCATGTAAGGACTCAGCAGCAAGATGGAAAACCTCACCACTTCCTCTCACCTGCAGTATGACCTCCCATGTCATCTCCCAGAGTTGATGGAATGTAGGTGTTTCAAGGGGCTGCAACAGACACACACAGAGTAAAGAGATGTCTTTGGTGCTAAAAGGTGGTTTTATTAAAGCTCGGGGACAGGACTTGTGGGCAGAAAGAGCTGCACTGGGGTCATGAGGAGTGGCCCATTATATCCTTTCAAGCTGGGAGGGGTGTAGGGATAGGGTAAGTCTCTAAGGAATTTTGGAAGCAAGGCTTCCAGGACCTTGAGGGGGGGGTTGCTATTGTTGGGGAAAGGTCATTTACTACTGTCTAATAAAATCTGAGTCATGAGACCCTTCAGATGTACATCAGTGGGTCGTACGCTTGGGTGATGATTGCCAACATGTATCTTGGGGAGTAGAGATAAAGGAAGTTTCCAAAGGAATTTTTATATGTTGAAGTAGACTTATACTGGGAGTTGGGCTAAGATTGCCTTTTGCCCTTAGCAAAGCATTAACATCGAGGCAGCTGAGTCCCTAGAGGAAGGTCACTCTGCCTGTTTCAAGGACTTGTCCATGGACTGTAGGTGTTAAGGACATTTAATAATTTCTCTTCCACCTTTGTTTCCCATATCAGTCACCACACCAAGTTCCAAGTCAACTGACCATGTTCAGTAGAGTCTTTGAATCAGCTAGGAGGGACTCAGCTGCTGGGAGGCAGTCTTGTTAGAGTAGAATTATTTTCAAGTCCTTGAAGAAGGTCTGTTGGAAGTTCTGCAAATGGCCACTATCATTATCTTTTGGTGGCTTGAAGAACTGCCACAATGGGCTCTGGTTGTTACATTCATTTTCATCCATGAGGTTGGGAAAAAGAAATGGCCTTTCTGTCCTTGAGTATCAGGTCATGTCATGATCCCCCCAGATCCTTCCAGACAGAGGGGGAGGCCTCAAGGAAAGTCTCCAGCCCCTTGGAAAAAAGATATTTGGTTTCCAGTGAGATAGATTAGAGCTCAGGTTTAGGGGGAATTGACATCTCTTTATTTAAATTTTCTTTGATTTCTGTCATCACCATTTTGTAATTTTTGGCAATGCCTAACCAGTACATATTTTGCTAAGTTTATGCCTAAGCATTTCATTTTCTCTGGAGTAGATGTAAATGGAAGGGCATTTTTAATTTTGGTTTCCATATGTTCATTTGTTAGCATATGGAAATATGATTGATTTTTGTGTGTTCATCTTGATGAACTCACCTCTCAGTTCTATAGAGTTTTGTGGATTGCTTGAGATTTTCTACATAGACAATTATGTCATCTGCAAAGAGGGACAGATTTATTCTTCTTTTCCATTCTCTATGCCTGTATGTCTTTTTCTGGCCTATTGCAATATCCAGAATTTCCAGGGCTAAGATGAATAACAGTGGT